TTCTTTCTTTCTTTCTTTCTTTCTTTCTTTCTTTCTTTCTTTCTTTCCCTTCTTTCCTTCCTTCCTTTTTTCTTCCTTCCTTCCTTCTTTTCTTCCTTTTTCTTTCTCTCTCTCTTTCTCTTTATTTTTTTTCTTTCTTCTTTCTTCCCCCTAAATGTTCATTTCTCCTGCATTCTGCTTATTTGAATCCCACTCATTTTCCTCTTAGCACACATTTCTACAGCATCATGGAGGCTGTGGTCTGTGGAAACCCAGTTCTCAGAGTCCTGATATTTGACACAATTTCCCAACCCTAATTTATCTCCACAGTTGCACACAGGGCTCCCCCAGGTCTACAGTGCTGGGGCAGCACTGATTTTTGCCTTGGCTGTTACACTCAGGGGCTTTATGAACACTGGCTCACTGTCTCCTTCAAATGGAGCAGTCTGGATGTAGACTGGGATATTTAAGGTGTCTTAGCTGTTAGATTTAAATACCAGTCTAAGGTAACAAAGCATCATAAACCAGCAATGGAATGCAGCAGCAAGCACAATAAATCCTTATTGCCCATGGCTAAAATGAGACAAAAATATTATTTCAGAATAAGGGAGAAAGAACTTACAGCTATCACAGAAAGGTGTGAGTCCATGAACCTTTCCTGTATGTAGAATGGTACCTGAGTAATCCAAAAGAGTTATTCAGCCTGAAGATCAGTTAATGCTATGTGCTTTCTTAGCTACTGGGCTCTAACTAACAGGATAATGAGGGGTCTAGACCAAAGACGCTTACAATGCACACATTTAATTTGGAGTAAGTTTATCACTGGTAAACCAAAGAACTGAAATGTGAAGCGTGTGTAGCCCCTGATCAGTAGGATATAAAAAAGCATGATGCCAAGTTTTTCATGTATTGGGAAACAGAATATGGCTGCTTATTAAAGGAATCGATGTCCTGCCTTTACCAAGACCAGAAATAGGGAAGAAAGATGTGTTTTCATTTGTTGATAAGGTATAAGGGCTCCTTACTAATTCCAGGTTATAATGGAAATTGAAATTGAAGGAAATCTTTCTCTGCTCTCTAATTCTAAACCCACTGAGGCCATTGGCCACTCTGATAAATAGTTGCCAGTGTGACTTAGAAACCTTCGGGTGGGAAAACAGAAGGACTTTAAATGTTGAGTCAAGGGAATAGTTCTAGCTACTGCCATTAACATTTAGGGGCACATAGTATGAAGAATTTCTCCATTTTATGGGGTTAAAAAAGTGGTTGGAACCTTTGTTTTTTCTTTCTAACCAGTGTTAAGTCCTAGGTCCACACACAAACAAACAAACAAACAAAAAGGCACACAGACTTCCCATATATTCCCCATTGTTTTATCTATATAGCCCTGTCTTTCCCATGATCCTAGAGTGAGGAGTCCAGGGCTCAAATGTAAGCAAAAGACTCTGTGACTCTGGACGGTACCACTTATGTAGGCAATAGCTGGACGGCAAGGAGATTTTGCCTTGGGAAATCTGTCTGGGCTGGCTGTAGATGCAGCACAGGGAGAGCTGGCCTAGACAGAATTGCTGGCCTCTGGGCTGAAAACACTATAGCTTTACCCTTAAAAGCTGAGTCTAGCTGTTTCAGAGTAAGAAGTTAGAGGGTTCATGGTGGAGAGGAGACACAGAAGGGGTTCTTCACAGCTACCCCTTTCTGAGTTCAGTGAATCTCCCTGAAGGAGAGGGTCTGGGCCATGGCATCAGCCCAAGAGGGGCCATATTGGAATCCAGACAAACTAGAGTCCAGACTGAGAGCCGCACTCACCTCGTGTGGAAAGTCAGCCAAGTTTCCACTGGTGAGTCTGGATTCTGTAGGCAATTTAGTGATTTCCTGTTGGCTACCCCCCACTGCTGCCTCCCTCCCACCTGCAGGCAGTCACCCATCCATAAATCCTGTCCAGCCCTGGATTTTTGCCCAAAGTTTCAGAGGGTTGGACTCACCAAGGAGAGCGGAATTCCCAGGATCCAGGACCAGCTGTGTTCCCAGAGGAGACATCAGCACTGAAGGAAGGTTCGGTCCAGTGGCTAAGAGCAAGGCCTTGATGTCTTCCAACTGTGTGGGGACTTGAGGGGGATCTGGGAGAAGACAGATGGTGAATCAGAAGGTTGATCATACAGGCTATATTAAGCAGGAGAGAGGATAGGCATATCCCCCCCGTGTGTGTATGACAGACATTGCTGTGATTGACTTGTAACCTCATTTTTTTTTTCCTATAGAGAAGGTATACCTATGAAGGTGAGTCTGAATTTCAAACTTAATAGTTGATGCCTGAAATAACAAGGTCCGTAATAAGAACCAGGCCTGTGACTTTCAGGAGTCCTCACTTTATACCCCTTTAAAGCACAGCACCACTGGGTGTTTCTAACAATGTAGATAAATTGAAACATGTTACAGAAATGATATTTTTTTAAAGGAAAATTTTAGCATTTACCATACGCCAAGTTGTGAGATAAGTAGTTTTCAACCAATTTTTTACTTAACTCATAATATCCTTAGGAATGAGGCAATTTGTAACTGTCCTCACAGATAGAATACTATCCAAGAGTTCATTTAGGGGGATTTGTACAAGTGCCTTTTTCAGTGAGAGACAATCTAGTTGTGAGGCTGATTTACTTTGTGGCCTAATTCTTATGCCCAAGTAGGACCCAGATAAAATGGTTAGGCAGGGGTCACTATGGGGTGTCATTTGAAATCTTCCACGGAGTTAGAGCTGCAGTCTTCAGGAGTAGGTTTGGACGGCCCCCTAACTGTGCATTTTGTTAGCACCTGTTAGCTAGGTACTTAAACAAGTGTTGGTGGTTCTACTTCAGAAACAACCTTCTCACCTTCCTGCCTTTGCCGGAGACCGCCATAAAAAGAAGACAATGGTGAGCGTGAAACTATGTGTTACATAAGAAACAGAGCGCCCTCAACCCTTTTCACGGGAAAAACGTGCTCATATTCAGGAATTCACAGTTTGAACTATGGCTGTGCCACTGACTAACTTAGGCGAGTACTTAGTCTACTGGGGCTCAGCTGCCTCATTATAAAGATCTCTTGGAGTGAACAGCCACCATCAAAGTGTCTTTACTCATCTCCTCCTCTATTTAGTAAGAGCAAAAGGGGAAGGCTAGTCTCAACTGAGAGACAATCTATTCTCCTTGGGTCAAATGTCAGCCCCTGCTTACATTCCTAAAGCTTCTATGACAATTCTGTGTGTGTGTGTGTGTGTGTGTGTGTGTGTGTGTGTGTGCCTATTTTATCTTCCCAGTGGAAATGTAAAATCTCCAGAAACACATGCCCACTCCCCCCCCTTTTTTTTTTCCTAAAACTCTACCAGTATCCACAAATATCTATCCCCTAACTACATGAGTGAAAGAATGAATGCCCACATCATTCCATGTTGAGCTTTGCACTACATTAAGTCACAGGACTTGGCATGAAATTTCAGTTTGGTATACAAAATTTCCCCCTTTAAAATTAAACCATATTATCACCGATGAAAAGAAGAAGTGATATCCCCATGTTGACATTTGCTTTAATGAAATGCCTGTCAGAGCCTCTGAACAGTGACTGTTTCCTTCTGGGATGTTTGATTAGAATGGGAAAGGAGTCATGCTCCTCCACTGTATTCACAGTCATACTCTATTTGGAGTGCAGTAAGAATTGATAAAACACTTCATTGCTGACACCACAGTAGCAATCCTAGGCTTCAATCTTTGTTAGCAGAGACAACAAGGAAGGGTTACTGGGGAGAAAAGTCCCACCCGTGAGTACTGTCACTCAGCGTGACCCTAGAATAACAGCTCAGTTGATGAAACCCAGTGGAAAACAAATGACATCCTTCTCGCCTCTGAGCCAACTTTCTGTGGCTTCCTATGAAGTATGCAGCTTTATGCAGCCACCAGTGAGATGAAACCGCAGCTGGGCCCTCGAAATCTGGGTGGGCGGGGGTGAGGGTGCATCAGCGGTGGCTGGGAAAATCCAAGCCTAAGTCCACAGTGTGTGTTCATGTATAGACGTGTGGCATGGAATTATTAGTTCTCACATCTTGTTCCCCCTTCTCCTAGAATGAAAGCCTTCTCTCTGTGAAAGACTCAGGATACAGGCCTTAATTATTGCTCTATTTTAAAAGGGCAAGACCCCACCTAGCAGCTTCCCTCTCACCCACCACCCCAAGACTCAGTGAACAGGAAGCAGAAGTGAGAAAAGGAGGTGTAGCTTGCAAGACAGCCTATTCCACCCTGGGGAGACATCATGGAGCACCCTTATTTGTAGAGACCTTATATGTAAATGGTTATTTTACACCAGGACCTGTGACAGGCTTTTTTAATAAGGAGTTCTTATGCCTGGGACATGCATGTGAAGATTTTAGGCAGACTAAACACTACCTGGAAATAGATGGAAAATATTTTTTTTACACATATAAAATTTTTAATCCATGTTTTTCATATGTTCTTCAAAGAAAGGCCTAACATGGGAATTAAAAATAATTTGATGACCCCAATTTCCTCAGCAACGTAGGCAATCCTCAGTTGTCAGGTTTTTTTGTAGACAACAGCATCTAAGATTTAAAAAGGTGAATAACACCCAATGCCACAAAGGTGATGTCACAAGAGGTGGAGCCAGGTTTCACATTCAGCTTTGTCTGGCCCCACACTTTCTATTTTCTGTTGGAAGGGCTGATTGTGGCAGGAGTGAATGGACACTGAATTTATTCTATGTTCTTAAGCAGTAAGGTGAAATAAGAGGCAGAGGGTGGGTTGGTCACCACCCATGGTCCAACTGAGGCCATGGTTTTGAGAAGTTTTTACCTAGAATCAGGAGCTGTGTGTTCTCTGTCAGCTCTCCATGAAGATTGGCTGCCCTGCAGGAATATAGGCCCTGCTCAGAGAAGGACACATTTGTGAGCAGCAAGGCGCCCTCGTGCAGATGGTGGGAGGAGCCCAATTTGCTTTTATTTCTGAACCAAGTGACTTCAGCTTCAGGCACACCTAGGAAGACAAAAATATGCTTGTCAGACAAACGTTTAGATGAACTCAGGACATTTGGAGCTTCTGGCCAGCCTACCCCACTCTGCAGGAAGCATCTGCCTGGGCGTCTTCTACCAACCTTCAGCCAAACCAAATACCACCTTGGATTTCTTGCTGTCTCTAGAGCTTTTGCTTTTTAAGACTTGTAGAGATGAGGCAGGAAGGGGGAGGGAGGCCAGTTGAGTGGGGAGGAAACAGTGGCAGCTGGTAAAGGGCACTTGCCAAGTTACAAGAGTATTCAAGTTCTTTGGAGAAAACATAAAATAGAAAAACTAAATGTGTAAACCTCATAAAAATGAAGATCCTACAACTAAGTGAGGCAAACAGAATGCTCAGTAAGAAAAGCCAGATATAGGAAGATATCCTGTCTGATTTCATGTCCATAAGTGATATACAAAAACTGGTAGACTGTGAGGTCTCATCAACATGGCTGTTTAATAAGGCCTGAGGAAGAACCACACCACTAGACATGCCAACATGGAAAGGGAAATTTCATGGGGCCTCAACCTTATACAAAGAACTACAGGTAACTAAGGAATGCTGAGATCAGGAGAAACAGTCCTCCCCAGGGAAGATCTCCTAAACTGCTTATCCAATACCAAATGGCCAGTCCAGAAGTCATAATACATATAAGCAACATTGTACAGATTGAAAGGAATATAGATAGGGGAAGGTGGGGGAGGCACATGGGAAGGATTGGAGGGAAGATGGGGAAGGAGGAAGTTATGTAATTATATTTTAATAAACAGAAAGACCAGGTAGCATTGATTAATGTTGTTAGTAGGCAGGAGGAGGCATGGTTCTTCTGAGGAGTAGAGTGAATACAGAAGGTTGTGACACGGAGAGGGACCCAGAGTCTGGGTCTTTGGTCATACTAGTTCTTGACCTGTGTTGTGCTCTCTTGACACCTTTTGTAGAGACGTTACATTAAAAATAAAGTCAAGATATGAAACAGCAAAATAGATGTTTGATCCAGACAAATAAAAGCTGCTAGGAAACATGCTTTTATTTTCCAGGCTGCCATGGTTTATGTTTTTATGAAAGTTTATGTGCATGCGTGTTCATCTGTGTGTAGGGATATGCATGTCAGTGCAGGTGCCTACACAGGGAGGCCAGAGGCATCAAATCTTCTGGAGCTGGAGTAACAGGTAGTTGGGAGCTCCCTGAAATGGGCACTAGGAACCTAACGCATGTCCTCTGTGAGAGCAGTATACAATCTTAACCTCTGAGCCATCTCTCCAGCCTCTGTTATTTGGATTTTGAGTGTCCTCACAAATCCAGTGTTTCCCCAGGCATAGTTTTCTGGTTGGCAGAACTCCTAAGAAGTGGGGCATAGTAGATTGTCTGTTGGGGGGGTACCTTTGTGGAGGAATCACGGGACCCCAGGCCCTTTTTTATTCTTTTGCCTCCTGGCTCTGAGGTGTATGGTTTTATTCTTCTACACACCTATCCTCTGATATTTTATGTATCTACAGAATTCAGCCTCAATATAACAAGCCAGTTGATAACAGACTGATGCCTCCAAAACTGTGAGTCAACAGAAACTTTCTCTTTAGGAGTTGATATCTTGTGTGTATTGTTTTAATGTCAGAAAGGTGACCACGTCAAAGGATATCTTCTCAAATCAAGAGAACACAAAGTGGAGACATCAGTAGCAGGAGAGGAAATGGACCAAAGGACAGGACCCTGCTTTTTCACAATTCATTCTGATATTTTGTCTGTGAGCTTCAGAAAGATTGGGTATATTCACAGGATGGGTGCCTATTCTTGGAAGCCCGATGCTGTTACTCTAGGTACAACCTGGACTGCTCAGGAAGTTTCCTTGAGGTGGATATTCAGGTAATCAGTCCTCAGTTTGTGACAAGAGTTCCTAAGTGGCTTTCTGAAGAGGCTCCACAAGAGGATAGGCTCTGACAGAGCTGAGAGACTGAAGCTCTAGGCTGCTGAATGCCAGGCTTCTAGGCAGCAGAAGCTTCTTCTCTAATACCAAGCAGCCTACTGCCCAGCCCTATTTGCTCATAGAACTCTTCAGCAAGCATGCAAGTAATGTTTAGAATGTCAAATACTGGAAAATGGGGTCATTGCCAAGAAAAGCCAAAGACTTAGACTTTTAGTCTAATGAATTCCCAGAGTCAGGGCTAGACTTTATCCTCAGGACAAGGCAGCGTTGTCCTGAACAGACAGCTTACAAGTAGGGGCTCTAAGCCCTTCAAGGATTGACCTGTGCACCCACTATTTGCCTTAATTGCCCAGAAAAAGTAGGGTTAATGGGAGGAAGTTCTGTTTTGGCTGCTGAAGCCTTGTCACCCCAGGGAAAGACATATAGCAATTCAGCTCAGTGATATGGGGCCTGAGTCCACAGGAGAGATACTGAGGGCATCTCTAGACACACCTTGAGAAAAGCTACAGGTGAGAGGCAGAAGAGCAGAGTTTCCATTGTAGCACCACTAGGGCGAGCAAGCGCATCACGATGTCTGCCCGTGCCAGCTGGGCCTTTGAACCCGGAGCTCGAATTTTTACATTCCAATTTTTTATTGGAAAACCCCTGAAAAGGAGTTGAAGGGGGAAAAAATCCAGTTCTCTCTCAAAAGCATACGAGAAAATGAGGTCTAATAAATAATTTCTATGAGGGTTCGCTCTTCCCACACTGAATTGCTTCCATGTAGCACTTAGTAGTGGCATCTTCCTCTTGGTCCCCAATGGGGACAAAAGGATGTTTTGGAGAAAGACAAGAGGAGCAAGGGAATCAGATGGCATGAGCCTTTCCTCTGATCCAGAGGGAGTGCCACTTAGGTGAACAGAGGAGTGAGCACCCCCATGGCTGCCTTGAGGACCTGGAACTTATGTTTCTAGATGTGTGTCTATTGATGTTCCTGTGGCATGATGCCTTGGCCAGGAGATGCAGAGAGAACAGGTACATGACAGAGGAAGGAGGGAGAGGAGGGAAAGGCAAAGAATCCAGGGCTTAGAGGGGTCAGGGAGCTATTTTTTTCTTTTCTGGGAACTAATTGAAACTTTCCAGTTTCCTGTATTATTCCTTGCCTTGTGACTCATGAAGTCAGGCTTCTCTATGAGGGCAAGACTGGGCATACCCTGGATTGGATAATTTCTCCGGTGAGATCAGAGGGGGAAATGGAAGTGCTCAGGATAGGGATGGGCAGGGGAAGTAATTTCCAGTCTTTACAATGCACTCCCAAGGAGAAGATGATTTTATGGAAACCTTTCTCTGGTCTGTTTAGTAGCAGACTCTCCTCAGGCTCACTCTTGAAGAGACCTGTATCATGGAGCTTGTCAATGGATTATTGTTGCTGTCACAGTTGAGGAAATTTCTCATCTGGGATGTGAACCTTAGGGCAGAAAAGGACACTATATCTGAAGTGACAACCAGCCCTTCCATGATTGGTTTTGACATTATGAACAAAGAATATGGAAGTAAGACAAGCAGTCACTAGAAAGCCAGTCTCCTTTCTCCCCGAAGGGATGGCAACTCTGCTTTAGAGAGTCTCATTAGCCCCTAGGTGTGCCAACAAATACTTAGAAGGGTACCAGATACACTAGCCTAGTCCCGTTGTCCAGAATGCCTTGACACTTGAAGTGTAATAAGCTGTGAAAAAATAGTCCACCGAAGTCATTAAAAATTATACTAAGCACTCACTATAAGCCAAACATTACAGAAATGTAAACACTCATTTTCCATAATGATCTCAACAGGGCATTTACTAATAACAACTCCATTATATAATGGAGAAAAGTGGGTCTTGAAGAGAGTAATACTTCTGGGGAGATAGCTCAGTGGTAAAGTGATTGCACAGCTTAAGGTCTGGAGCTGGGGTCCCCAATACCCATGTAAATGGCAGGGTGGGTGTGGCAGCCTGTCTGTAATTCCAGAGTTTGGGAAATGGAGACAATTGATCTTCAGAGCAAACTGGCCAGCTGGTCTATCAAGTTTTTGGGCTCCAGGCTTAGGGAAAGACCCTACGTCAATATATATGGAAAAGGACCAATTGAGGAATCTACCAACCATCAATTTCTGGCCTCCTAAGATATACCCACACATGAGTACATGCATATACACACATATCACGTAAACATGCCCATAGTCACATTAGTTTGGGTCCTTGAATGATGATCCATGAGCAGAATAACCTGGTCTCTGGGTTAGTCACTAACCTACCAGTCTCAGGGTGGAGATCTAAATGGAGACACCTTCAGTGTGAGGAAGCCCTTTCTCAACAAGTCTACCCCACAGCTTGTTATCATTCCAGACTGCTGCTTCAGAGGATATCTGATGTGCCTTGCCGTGATTTCCAGTTACCGTGTATTTTTTTTATTTTGTTATTGTTTTTTTTTTTTTCCCCCAGAGCTGCAGATCAAACCCAGGGCCTTGTATTTGCTAGGCAAGTGTTCTACCACTGAGTCTGCAACCCTTTGTTGTGATTTCTAAACCGTTAGATTTTTATATATGGTTATATCCTGTGATATAAATCTATATATATATAACCATATATAAAAATCTATATCTATATCTATATCTCTATATCTCTATATCTCTATCTATCTATCTATCTATCTATCTATCTATCTATCTATCTATCTATCTATCTATCTATCTACCTATCTATCTATCTATCTATCTATATTTTGTGGCCACTGCAGCACGAAAACTGGTGTGAGGAGTGGGACTTCTAGAAGCTAGAAGAGTTAAATTAGCTATATCTGTTGTTGGAAAGTTCAGTCATGTTTTGGAAACTCCCATTCATGTTACACCATGCCAGCACCAACTCTACAGAGAGTTGTCTGAGAAACGGCAGAAAACACTGCCACAGAGTGCAGTCTGGAGCTTTACTTCTGTTGACCAGTCGCTTGTCCAGGCTCCACACTGAATTTCTGGCACTTACTTGGGTCTACAAAGGGGATGCAAACCAACCTGTGTCTGCTTTATCCCCCTGTGGCATTTCTTA